GCAGCCTTCATAAAACACCCTCATAGATTTCTTACATACACACCTTATTGTGTACATTTAAAGTTGAGCAACCTTTCTGAGGAAGGTGATGGACACAATGTCTGTTTATGCAAGGAAACATTTCCCTTTTTTCATGCTGAGTTTATTCAAGGGTTTGTTTTCTTTTCTTCCAAGGTCTTATTTCACTATAAAACTTTAATGTTAGATAAGGCCTGTCCTCCTGTCATAAAACCACACCAAAACAATTCTGTTGGTTCAGTAACTTATTATTTCATACTTCTAGATCCTAAACAAATTACGGTTATTTTCACATTCTTCCTGAATAACCTTCAGGCATGATAATAAGCACGCTTTTCCATATATGCTTTTAATGTTTTATCTTCTGGTTGATTTGAAATATATTTTTTGAATTGTCATGTATCCTAATAATTAAAGGATCTTTCTAAGTGATTTTCTTCCTCGGGCTTATATGGCATAGACATGTTTGACATATCTAATACATTTCTACAGTATAGTGGGCAAATAAATGTATAAAATACATCAAATTATATGGGTAGAGCAGTTGTTCTAGCATCATTTTTCAGGATATCTATGCTGCAGTCTGATTTTATGAAAACATTTTTCCTAAGTTTCCCTCCCTTCAAGTCATCACCGACATTTATGACTTCAGATCTGAAATACCGGTTATCAAAGCATTGTTTGCAAGAGTGGTAGAGACATAACAAACAAACAAGGGAGCTGCATAAGTCTCTGAAACTCAAATGATCCAGATAATGAAGATTTTTCTTGTTCTCTAAGCATGAGCACAGAATCTCTCACATACAGCAACTCTTTTTTAAACAAATAAATAAACAAAGTAACCAGTTAAGCAAGGTAATAAAAATCATTTCAGTTGCACTGCAGGCAAAACAGGCTAAGCCTAATTTTTTTAAAGCACTTCTGCATAACATTGTGTGAATAAACAGAGGCTGTTGCACATGTCCCATTTACCTCACAGCAAAGCTGAGGTAAATCATTCCCTTGTACAAAGTCATACATGAATGCAAGATAACACTTTGGATACTTTTTTAAAGCTGCTGGGAATATGGTGATTTTCAACTGAAGACCAGAAATGTGAAATGTGCCAAATGTATTGATTTGGTTTTCTTTCTCACCTTGTCCTAAAAGTTCAGAGCAGATTTCAAAATATCACTGCCTTTGTTTTATCCTCAGACAAAGCATGTCTCGTTTAATCATAACTTTATCCTCACTCAAAACCTGAGTGGTAAATTTGAGGCAGTGATTTACCAGAGGCTATGCTCCTAGTTTCTAAGTTCACAGGGAAGTGGGATCTGGATACTGCTGAGTCAAACCTATCTCTATATATTAGACCGCCCAAACTTAATCACTTAATGATAAACCATTACTATGTGTAACATTTTAAAACTGCTGCATAACTTGTCAGTGTTGGCCTATGTAGCTCTCAAACTGACACCATTCGTGTTGCTAATGCCACAAGGTAAATGTAATATTTGAAAGGAACAATAGAGTTCCTTGCAATTCCCATTAAAACCCATCATTAATGAGCACAACTCCTTAGACTCATACCTAGATTGAAATTTTCAGGTGCGCAGGAAGGCAACAGTCTAAATAATTTGATTTTAGGCATGGAAAAGTTTGGTTGACTCTTAATGCAATAATGACAAGAATCATGGCGCAAATAATACACAGAGAGAGCGTGCTTTCCAAGCGAACAATAATGGCTTCTCTGAAACAGACACTTGCGAAAGAAATCTGTATGGCCCTTCCATCACTTTCCCCCTACCTGTGGCTTCAGAGAAAAAGACCTAACAGCCATCTCAGGCAAAACAACTTGGACCCATGCTTTTTAGGCATGAGACAAGTGGAAATGTGGACAATCCCAGAGTTTACATTACTTCCAGGCATAGTTTTCTTATAAATCTTTCCCTCTCTGCATAGTTGCTGATATCCACTTCTGTCAGTGGTCAGCAAACTTTTTCAGCAGGGGGCCGGTCCACTGTCCCTCAGACCTTGTGGGGGGCCGGTCTATATTTTCAAAAATATATATGAACAAATTCCTATGCCCCACAAATAACCCAGAGATGCATTTTAAATAAAAGCACACATTCTATTCATGTAAAAACACCGGGCAGGCCCCACAAATAACCCAGAGATGCATTTTAAATAAAAGCACACATTCTATTCATGTAAAAACACCGGGCAGGCCCCACAAATAACCCAGAGATGCATTTTAAATAAAAACACACATTCTACTCATGCTGATTCCTGGACAGTCCATGAGCCGGATTTAGAAGGCGATTGAGCTGGATCCGGCCCTCGGGCCTTAGTTTGCCTATCCATGACTTATGTGATAATACATGCCACAGTGTGATTGCCAGCATTTCCTCATGCATT